TTTTTTTTTTTTTTTTTTTGATTTCAAGACCCACCCCAAGGGTGGAGTCTGGCTTTCTTTCCAGTCTTGGCTGACTTACAGCTCATTGCAAACTAGTAGCAATTTCTGAGTCTCACAGCCTTTCTCTGTCTGGTTCCTAAGCACATATGTCAAGGTCTGGCAGGCACAAGGTATGTGATGATTCCTGTTACTTTCCAGAGGACTTTGGATTTGCAAGGGGGCTGTTCTTGACTTCACTTGATTGCCTATATATATACATACATATATATAGCATTGACACAGTGAGTGCTGAGGCAAAGGACAGGCAGGGACAGGCTGCGAGGAGAGGAGGGGTGCGTGTGCTGGAGCAGCCTGTGGTGAGGCAAGTTGCAGGTTGGCAGCCTCCTAGGGAGGAACTTTGATTGCCCCCCCCCGCTTGCTCTTGTCCTTCCCATTTGTGCAGTGCCTTCACCTCTGTTCTCCTCGTGCATTTCATCCCTTTGTTTGGGGGGGGGAAGCTGAAGCCAACGAGAATCTTCCTGCTTATCTGTTGACTCCCTTTGTGTCATGCACATGCTCTCTCTCTTTCTCTCTCCTTTCCTCCTTCCTTCCTCCCCACTGTTTCCATGGAAACTACAAAAATTCCCCAGGCCTTGCCCTAAATATTATCCATATTTCTCACATGATGTTGCACTTGTGCAGATTCTGGACGGACTGATATTTGCTGGGATCCAGCCCGCATTTGTACTCTCCCCTTCTACTTTCATTTTGGTTTTCCCCTATCACAATAGAAGTGGGGTGGGGGGGGAGTAGGGAGACCAGGGTTGCTGTGGAAACAGACATTTGTGATCATCTATTTACAGCTGCTTTCACCAATGTGCTTCCTATCAAGAAGTCTGTGTGGAGCCTAAATAATGAGATGTTTTGAATGAAAGGTATGTAGGTATATAAATAGTCTATTTATTTCCCATGGCACCTAGAAGAATCATATACAGAACAGGAGTGGTGTTTGCAAGGAGTGAAGGACACTGCATTTAGCATGTTCTTGATTTGTTATAAAGTCT